TTTTTAATATAGGTATAAATATTCCTTATCACAAGCAAAATGAGCGGGTCAAACACTAACCACTATGGGTTTTCTAAAAGCATGGATCCAGACCAGCCGGTCCGCACAGTCTGATCAGGATCCCTGCTATTCCTTACAAAACCCTTGTGTGTTAACAAGTAGAGAAATGATAGGAACAGCTGATCCGATCAGGGACTGCGCGGATGCGGATCGGTGTCTGGATCCTTGCTGGTCGCAAACCCATTATGTTGTTTTTGTCATGGCGTGCTCAAATCTTTCTTAACAAATTCAATACTATAGACTTACCTGAGGAACTGCAGGCTGTCACTATCTTCTGAAAAGATCAGATTCATCACTTGAGTCTAGAGTCATCACCTGAATTTTCATCTTTGTATAGCTTGTGCCTGTTCTTTTTTTTTCTGCTGCTTTAACTTTTTAGAACGCCCTTTAGATGATCTTCGGGTTACTGCAAATAAAGGTAATGTAGGATTATGTTAAAATAAAAATAGGCTTTTTTATATCAACCAAAATTGCTGAAAAAATTTAGGTGTTCTTTAATAACATTTTTGGGCTGATAAATATGTGTTCTTTTTAAAGTTAACCATTTTTTCCTGAATAAATGTTGTTCTATTTAACAGTTTGCCGGGGAATACATAGGTTCTATTAAACCAGTGGTAATAGGTGCTCTTTACACAGGAAATCAAGATCAATTGAATAAATGGGGGTTTTTTCCAATAAAAAATTGATGAATAAATAAGCTTCTTTAAAAAACGTTTGGTAAAATAAATAGGTGTCTTTTAACGGTAATGAAAAGATAAAAGTAATATAAGATAAACAGGTAATGTAAGATTAACTGGTAATGTAAGATCAATAAGTATTAATTAATAATTAATAATCAAACTTAATGAATAAATAGGTTCTCTTTTTTTATTTTTTTTTATTTTTGGTTGGGTTTAACATCGCACTAACACAGATTATATCTATTATATCCAGTTGGGCAGAATAAATATTTCCTTGTAACTAGTTTTGCCAAAATAATCTTAACACATGTTAAACAATATATATCTTTATAAAGTATATACTTTTGAAAAACAACAACAAACTAAAGTAATTGCAAATTTGATGACAAATTATCAAAACTATTCATGTAATCAGTATCAAAATACTTATAAGACTTACGTTAAACCACCCAGACCTATAGTGGTGAAGAAGTTGATAGCAAATCTTGTATCTCTTGGATTGTCTCGTGGTAAAAGACCGGCGTAATATTCCTGCAACGTTCTGTAATAAATCAACAAAATAATTTATATCTATATAATAGTATTTCATCCAATTTTTATCAAAATAAGTGAAAAGGAAAATTAGTTCAGTAAATTATTATACTTTCATAACTTTTTTATGAATAAAGGATTTGTTTTGGTTAAAATTTGGGGCCTGCTTTAAAATGTGCACTGACCTTTACACGGGCCCCTGTTTATAGTTATGCATTTTTGAAAATATAGAAATATAAAAGACAGATGATACTATACTTAACTGTTTTTTTTGAAAGTTAAAAACTCTTTGCACGTTAATTTTTTTTGTTTGAAAAAAATTTTTTAGTTGGGTTAAGCACAAGGACACTGAAAAGGTCTATGGAAAACTTGCTAGCTTCTACTGGTGGGGAACTCAGATGCCCTTTTTTATGCATTTTTTGGGTAAGAGGGGCATTAGCAAACCATCGAACCCCCTTCTAAGCTCGGGGAAAGCATAACCAATGTTTTAAACCTATAGCTTTAAAATTATTTTTTCTTTTCATGTGAAACCTTAACCACTTCACCACAGTGGCGGAATGAAGACAACTTATACCAAAGAAAAAACCTTTGAGTTGAACTACAAATTAACATTTTGATTACCTTTTATTTGATAGACAACAAAAAAATTCTACCTTTATTGATAGACAACAAAAAGAAAATCTTACGGGTCCTTGAGCCTCTCGTTCAACTTTGGTAGTCCGAGATACTCGGATAATTCTTGAAACAAAATCTTGATGAAGATTCGGCTAGCTGGGGTTTGTCTTTCGTTCAATAATAGTTTTAAAACAAACGAAAATTATTATAAAAACAAATGTACAAAAGACAGTGTTTTTGATTTGATTTCACAGTGCTCGACAGTTAAGAAAGGGACATAACTCTGTAAAAGGTAACTCATAGAGTAATGGGACCTGTGTCCATTATGTTTTCTAATCACATAGAATAGGTCGGTGAAGTTCTAACCCATTCCCTTCAGTAGTTTTGGAGATACCAACTTGTTCACAAAAACTTAACAAACTAGAAATGTGTCCATAGGACACTGATGCCCCCACACGCCACTGTTCTGTCAATCTTATGACTCTAGGTCAAATATTTTTTTGGACATACATGTGCCACAAGTTGAAAACAAAAAATCAACAAAGGCCATAATTTTCTGTTAAATATTTGGTCCCGAGCAAAAAACCCTTCCTTTTACTACGATCTACACTTTCAAGGTTGTTCATCCCTGGAAGTTTAAGCAAAATCTGCCATCCGGTTTAAGACGAGTTTGCATTCAAAAATTTCTACATAGTATAAAAGTGAAAAAAAAATCAACAAAGGGCCATAATTCTGTAAAATTTTGTGGTCGCAGCAAAAATTCCTTCCTTTACTACCATCAACATCTTTAGGCTGTTCATCCCTGTAAGTTTTAAGCAAAAATCTGCCATCCGGTTTAAGAGGAGTTGCGTTCACAAAATTTCTACATAGTATAGAGTGAAAAAAAAGTCAACAAAGGGCCATAATTCTGTTAAATTTGTCGGTCGCAGCAAAAATTCCTTCCTTTACTACCATCTACACATTAAGGTTGTTCAATCCCTGGAAGTTTTAAGCAAAATCTGCCATCCGCGGTTAAGAGGAGTTGCATTCAAAAATTTCTACATAGTAATATAGTGAAAAAATCAACAAAGGGCCATAATTCTGTAAAATTTGGTCGCAGCGAAAAATTCCTTCCTTTACTACCATCTACACATTAAGGTTGTTCATCCCTGTAAGTTTAAGCAAAAATCTGCCATCTGGTTTAAGAGGAGTTGCGTTCACAAAATTTCTACATACTATATAGTGAAAAAATCAACAAAGGGCCATAATTCTGTTAAATTTGGTTGAAGTGAAAATTCCTTCCTTTACTATCATCTACACATTAAGGTTGTTCATCCCTGTAAGTTTAAGCAAAATCTGCCATCCGGTTTAAGAGGAGTTGCGTTCACAAGATTTCGGGACGTACGGACGGACTGACGGACGGACTGACGGAATGACAGACGGACTGACGGACGGACGGACAAGTGCAACGCTATATGCTCCCACATTGTGGGGGCATAAAAAGGGATGCCGATACCAGGTTGAGTACAACAGCTGCGCCTATTCTTTCAAACAAGAGCTGTCGGTAGGACAGCATGCTCGACTATTCTTAGTGCTTGATAGTAAAAAAAATGCCTGATACAGTTACCTCCTCCTGTTTACAGGTTGGGGTCATGATGAAATGGTGAACAAGTGTGCAAAGTTTCAAAGCCATATGTCAATGGACTTTGAAAAAATATTTGAACTATTACAAAAAACTTAACGTAAATTCTAAGTCGAAAAAGGGGCATAATTCTGTCAAAATGCTTGATAGAGTTACCTCCTCCTGTTTACAGTTGGGGTCATGATGTTGAACAAGTGTGCAAAGTTTCAAAGCCATATGTCAATGGACTTTGAAAAATATTTGAACTATTACAAAAACTTTAACGTAAATTCTAAGTCGAAAAAGGGGCATAATTCTGTCAAAATGCTTAATAGAGTTACCTCCTCTGTCTACAGGTTGGGGTCATGATGTTGAACAAAGTGTGCAAAGTTTCAAAGCCATATGTCTATGGACTTTGAAAATATTTGAACTATAACAAAAACTTTAACGTAAATTCTAAGTCGAAAAAGGGGCATAATTCTGTCAAAATGCTTGAATAGAGTTACCTCCTCCTGTCTACAGGTTGGGTTCATGATGGTGAACAAGTGTGCAAAGTTTCAAAGCCATATGTCAATGGACTTTGAAAATATTTGAACTATTACAAAAACTTTAACGTAAATTCTAAGTCGAAAAAGGGGCATAATTCTGTCAAAAATACTTGATAGAGTTACCTCCTCCTGTCTACAGGTTGGGGTCATGATGGTGAACAAATGTGTGCAAAGTTTCAAAGCCATATGTCAATGGACTTTGAAAATATTTGAACTATTACAAAAACTTTAAACGTAAATTCTAAGTCGAAAAAGGGGCATATTCTGTCAAAATGCTTAATAGAGTTACCTCCTCCTGTCTAAGGTTGGGGTCATGAATGGTGAACAAGTGTGCAAAGTTTCGAAGCCATATGTCAATGGACTTTGAAAATATTTGAACTATTACAAAAACTTTAACGTAAATTCTAAGTCGAAAAAGGGGCATAATTCTGTCAAAATGCTTAATAGAGTTACCTCCTCCTGTCTACAGGTTGGGGTCATGATGGTGAACAAGTGTGCAAAGTTTCAAAGCCATATGTCAATGGACTTTGAAAATATTTGAACTATTACAAAAACTTTAACATAAGTGGTTACGCCGACGCCGACGCCGACGCTCGGGTGACTGCAATAGCTCTACTTATTCTTATCGAATAGTCGAGCTAAAAAGTCAAGCTAAAATAATGTCCATATTAGCCCCAAAGTTAAGTAGCAGTAAATGTTTAAAACATATTTTAAAACTTATAGGAGATACTGAAATGTAATGTCAATGAAATCTATGACTTAAGCATGCAAAATTTGAAGAACAATATCAATTTGACCTATGCTTTCACAGCCATTTTATTAGAAAACATTCCCACCTCCTCTATTGAAACAAATTTGTTCAGTGTGAGAGTAAAGAATGAATGAATAATCAATTAAAATAAAGAAAACACCTGATTAATATCAAACTATTAGAAAAACTATGATAACAATCCTTTACTTACAGCCCATGAAATAGAATCAGTGTGTAGAAGATGGGCAAAGAACTTGGCCACATTCCTTAGCTTGTTTGTTTCTAGTCGATGTATGGTGTCATACTGTTCTTTAAACATCACTTGGAATGGTTCCACATATTTCTTATCAATCATACAGAACCTCTGAAAACATATTTCAATAAATTACATGCAATTTAATAATCTTTACAATTTTATCACAAAGTATATAACCCACACTACGCTAAATATCTTAAATGGATTTGTCCATCTCTTAAACTGGACTTAACCAGTCATCATTTTTAGGGGGAATTAAGAATTTCATACTGTAGGATTACCAAGAAGAAGGCACAGCCTTTCCCTTAGGCTTTGTCAGCTCATATGAAACTAGAAATGCATTCCTAAGACAAGGATTCCTTAACACTCCACTGTTTTGCAGTTATGTCAGTCTACAAACAGACAGTGGGAAAGCAGTGGGATGGTCAAGGGCGAATCTATATCACCCTCACCCAATAGGGGCACAATAAAATGTTAAATACACAAAATGGTCAAAACTTGAGTTACTTAAACCTAACGAGACAAATGGCCGAGTATTTTTTATCATCATTATTGATTAATTAAACTTTATTGCAAGTGTTACCCCTGCTAGGAGACCGAAGAATTTCTCATAGGTCCTCATCTGTCCACAACAGTCGAGAATCATGTTACATAATTCAACCTGAAAATATATATATTATAATAATATCAAAATATGTAGACAATTAAATAAATTGCACTTAACATTTTAGTAATACCAACAAATAGGCTTTCCTGGATAACAAACCAGTAATTACCAATTTCTCTTCAAGTAACCAACTACTAATCCCACATGATTTTTGAAGCAGCTATGAGAGACAAATGACCATAAGACCCAATGTCCGAGATCAATTGTGACGTAAAAATTTCGGCTTGCCTCAGGATCAAACCAGCCACCCCTTGAGTAAAACAGCGGTTCAAATCAAGTAAAGCTTAACTAAATAATATTTTTAAACCAACTGATAATGATGAAGATCACCCCTTACACTGTTAACACAATATAAAGCTAACTTTTTTTCGCCCCAGGATCAAACAGGCACCCTTAGAAGTATAAGAGTGGCTCAAATTAGATAAATCTGAACTAAATAATGTTCAAACCAACAGATAATGATGAAGATCACCCCTTCAACTTTCCACAAGTAATTTTAACAGACATGTAATACAAAGGTAATGATCAGTTAACTTTATGTACCTCTTGTCCAGGTTTGAGATCCATCTTGAGGAGTTTATGAGCACATTCCTCAAAATCAAGACTAGATTGTATTGTCAAATAGATTGTTCTCCTTAATGCCACCATATTAGTCTCTGTCTGGTCAATAATTTTCTGTTTCGCTTCCTCATCTAAATCAACAAAAACAAAAATTACTTTTTAAGGCCCATTATGCCACAGAAATGCTATCATTCTTTTTCTCAAAAAAAAAAAAATATTATTTTTTTGGTGTCTTGTTACAGTTTATAAAACAAGAACTGTCTGAGGACAGTAACGCTCGACTATTCGAAAAGTTGTCACAAGGGTGTTTCATTGAGTATAATAATGCTTACCTATAAGAATACATAAAATTGTCCGAAAAGGTACAAACCCTTCAGTAGTTATGGAGATACCGTCTAACAAGCAAAAATTTACCTAGAATTTCTAAGTCAAACAAGAGCGATCAGTAATCACATGTGTCGCCTCATGATGGCCAATTTCATGTTGGGACAAATTTTGTGACAGACAGACAGACAGTGCACAACTAGACTTGGTACTGATCATTCCTGTAAAGTTTGGATGAAATTGCACCAGTAGTTTTTATGAGGAGTAGTCCGGACAAGCTTTTGTGTATCTGGCAACACACAGAAAAAAACACTTTTTATCAAAGGGCCATAACTCGGCAAAAATCATTCAACCAGAAAACCCGTGCAATATGCGCAAGGACTTGAGCTACAGATCAATCCTGTAAAGTTTCATTGAAATTGCATTAGTGGTATAAGAGAAGTAGTCCGGACAAACTTTAAAAATAAAAATTATTAAAGGGCCATAACTCTGACAAAAATCATTGAACCGGAAAATGCTGACAATATGCACAACTAGACTTTTGGTACTGATCATTCCTGTAAACTTTGGATGAAATTGCACCAGTAGTTTATGAGGAGTAGTCCGGACAAGTTTTGTGACGGACGGACAGACGGACAGACAGACGACGGAGAAGTGATCCCTATATGTCGCCACTACTCCGTAGAGGCGACACAAAAAAGCCCCATAATAGTCGAGCTAAAAAATACTCTTTTACTTCTTTTGCTCTGTTGGCAATTCGCTAAATAATACATTTATTAAATCATTATTTTGTATGGAAATCAAAATACTACTTTGTTTACATTTTGCTACCTTTACAACATATTACTGCATATTCCGGCGCTACTTTCTTCAGTTGATAAACAAATAACATGCTCTAAATCTGTTATTAAAATTTCATTTTTTACATTCCTTAAGAATAAGAAAAATATGGATTTCGTAGGCATAACATGCCTTTAAATAAATTTAGAATCATCAAATACCAAAGTGCTTTACACAAAATCTACTTATTAATTGATAACTACAAGATAATCTTCAGAAGTAAATAATACGAACTTAACACTAAATAAAGGTATCACAATTATTATACTATACTGTAGTTTATAAATCTGTAACCTTGGAAAGGTTAATCTTATGTAATTATAATCAAAATAGTGTAGCTTGATGTAGAATACTTGTTTTTTACATAACACAATTTCTAAAATTAAAAGTTTCAACACCTTGAAAATAGCAGATTTTTAACGGATATTTCAGTGCTGAATAATTTTATTTTACCAAAGTTCAAGAGCTTAGAATTAAAAGTTTTTGTGAATATGCAGTCTGAACGAGAGAAAAGTTCAAGCATAATTTCCTTACTTTTTCAAAATCAGTTTTTAGGTGTAAAACCTGCAACAATTTTTATGAAAAAAAAAGACTGTACATATGTTCTTACCTTCCTCAGACTCCTCCTCCTCACTGTCTGAGCCACTCCCACTACCTGAACCATCTTCCTCATCTGAACTACCTTCTCCCAGTATCTCTGTAATATATGTAATGTATGATATGTCTTTGTTTGAATGAATATAGACATACATGTATAAATGTCATATTCAACTGAGCCAGGTATACATCAGTTATATACTCACCGATCCAGTTATAAATCAGATTTATACCTTATTGAGTCAATTATTAATCTCTCTGAAAAGCAAAAAAATGTTAACAAATGTTTTCTAGTGCCCTTATGTTCATTATTTTTCGCATAAAGGGAGTCTCAACATGATCAAGTGGAACCAAAGACCTTCTGTATGCCAGATGGATAGTTTCCTCATTTGAGAAATGCTATTTAAATTTCCTGGCAATATTTGAACAGACAGCAGTGAATGTCAAGTACATTTTAGTAAAATATTCATTATTATAGAAAAATTTTCTTAACTAATATATGTAATTATGTCATAAAGCATTAATTACCTTTCTTCAGAATCTTGTACTTCTCTTCATTTTCTTCAAATGCTGGATCAGGCTTAAACACGTCTGTTGGAAAGAGATAAGACAAACAGTTATAACCCCATTTCTCAGCAGTTCAAAACAGGCTTCAATGAACAAAGATTCTAATTGAGACAGGTTATGTAATGGCAGTTCTGTAAGTAAACACATTCATACAAACATAACATTAGAAACTTTTAAAAAGTAAATTCAATGTCACAAAGAAATTTCAAAAACTGTATTGAAAAGAAGAATACAGATTCAAACCTAATATGCTTAGCAACCACTTCCGATCAATAAATCAATGGCTTATCAGCTAGAATCTTGAAGATTTTTTAATGCTCTATACAATTATTTCCCACAAATTCTTAACCCTTGAATTGCAGATTTTGTGTAATGGATTTGCCCAGCTTTAAATTTGGAACAGTTCATTCACAGTTTAATGGATTTAATTTTCAGCAACTAAAAGTACAGAGCATGGTCAAACTGCATGGGTATTCAGGATTAACCCTGTTCTAGGCCAATCAATTGGGTGCCCTTCCATAAATTAATTCAGGCCCAAACATGCCCAAACTGAGTAGAACCCCTTAAGTTCTGCAAGCTACCTGGTAAGCTTCCTAACACAATTTCACAAGAGAGTCCAAAAGGACTGGCGGGTTCGAACCCACAGCAGTGAGAATTGATTTGAGGTACACAATTTCAACCACTCTGCCATGAATAAATCATCATATTTATCCAACAGGTTAAGTGTTGAATGAATCACAAATTTTAACAATGAAATTTACATGTATAAACATATTTTATTTTCAGTCTTTGCTCCACTAAATATTGAGCAATGGACTTGCCAAGCTTTGAACTGTTTATTATTTATTCAAGGGGCGTTCAATGCATTATACCAAAGTACCATGTAACTATTTCAACTCTATATCAGTAACCTCTGTTGGGTTTATTTCCTATGTAACTATGTCAATTTTATATATCGTTAAACTCTGTTGTTTATTCTTCTTGCAAGGTGCCTCATACCAAATATCTAAGAAGTTTTGCTAATAAATGATGGCTGTATAGTTTGAGGAAAAGTAGACAAATTCTGTCATGAAACACGAAAACTGAACAAAATTTTAGGGACCTTTACGGTTTTTGTTGGGTTTTTTTCCCCTATGATGACAACTTGGTTATATCTGCCAAATGGGGATAATATAAATGGTGAAATAAGAAGTAACAAGGGTGAAATTGTGACAAAATACGCCTGTCACAAAAGCTTTAGATGTAGATGTGGTGATAAGAAGTGAAGCAAGTTCTTTACCCTCATGAAACCCCAAGCATCCATACACCTTTTCTTTACTTTTTGATGGAGGATTCCAAGATTTACTTTTTCTAAATTGACTTGTGAATCCATTATGATTTGTTTTGAGAAAATACAACATTACGCACTCACTGATTGGATGACCAAGTTAAATTAACCAATGTATTTCGTGTAATAAAGCAGTATACTAGTAAGACAGGGACTAAAACTCGCATTGTTTCCGTGTTTATTTTTGGTTGTGAATCGAATCTGAATTCTTATATTTGGTATCAGAATCGAATCCGCGCCAAATAAACCGGTTTTCAATGAATCAGAACCTATTCTTGCACCTCTAATATTCAATCATCTCTGGTGACCTTGCCCTATCAAATATTGATCTAAATTACATACACGTGTCACACTTGTAGTCATGATAGTTACCATTTGTTTTGAAATCCATCGATAAATGACTAAATGGTCCCTATAACAGCTTCATATTTTTACCTGTACTTTGAAATCTATGTGTTATCTTGGCTTTGGTCGCAGGGACCTGAATTTTGCGTGCCACACTCAGCTTCACAATGGTGAACATATGTGCCAAAATATATAACAATCCCCCTATGAATGAAGAAGTCTTGCTCTGGACAAGCATTTTTAATTGGCTCAAGTGTAACCTTGATCTTTGACCTAGGGACCTGGATCATGCATGGAGCAATGTTATATGGTGGTAAACGTTCCTATACAGTATTATAAAAAATCTTCCATGCATGTGGAAGATATGCTCCAGACAAAATCTGGATATTTCATCATCTTTAGTGACCTTGACATTGCATAATATATATATATTGACCTATAAATTACATGTTTCACACTTGTGTACGTAGTTATGATAATTACCACTTGTATTACAATTCCTCAACAAGATTGCATTTGAGAAAAATGCTATGCCACCGCATGGTTCAAATTTCATAGCTGTACATCAAATTCAAAGGACAAGAAAGTAGGTCACATCATCAAAATCTAGGTCAAAGTTCAATTTTACAACTAAAACTGTGCACATGGTCAAAATGACATTGCTGTACATCAAAGGACAAGAAAGAAGGTCACTGTCCCCTTGGGCAAGGCATAATTTTGACCCAAGGGTTTAATAACAATCTTGATACAGGTCCACCAAACAACATTTCAAGTCAAATATCTAAGCTATAGCTTTCTCCCATTCAGAAAACATTTGTTTCATTTTTTGTTTTTACTACGTGTACATAATGAGAATCACTGCCCCCGGGCAGGGCCAATTTTTGACATTTGAACAACTTTGGTAGAGGACCAATAGATGATATTATATATCAAACATCAAAGCTCTATGCCTTGAACCTTCAGAAAAAATTTTTTTCTCACTATATGTACATAATGAAAATCAATGACCCCCGGGGCGGAACCAATTTTGACCCAAGGGCTATAATTTGAACAATCTTGCTAGAGGTTCACTACACAATGTTTCATGCAAAATATCTTAACTCTATCCTTTGTAAATTTAGAGAAGATGATTTTTAAGTTTTAACTATAAACATATAAGATAAACCTATGGCTCCCAGGGGCGGGGCTAATTTTGACACAAGAGGCAAAATTTGAACAACTTTGGTAGAGTACCTTTAGATGATATTATTTAACAAATATTAAAGCTCTAAGCCTTGTACCTTCAGACAATAAGATTTTTTTATTTTTTACTATGTGTATATATTGAAATCAATGACCCCCAGGGCGGGGGCAATTTTGGCCCCAGGGCTATAATTTGAACAAACTTGCTAGAGGTTTAAAACACAATGTTTCATGCAAAATATCTAACCGCTAGCATTTGTCAATTGCTAGAAGAATTTTTTAAAAGTTTTTACTATATACATATAAGGAAAACCAATGACCCCTGGGGCGGGGCCGATTTTGACCCCAGGGCTATAATTTGAACAATCTGGGTAGAGGTCTACCAGACAATGCCTTATGCAAAATATCTAAGCTCTAGGCCTTTTGGGTCTTTACAAGGTGTTTTTTTAAGTTTTTAACTATATGTACATATAGCGAAAATCAATGACCCGGGGCGGGGCCGATTTTGACCCAAGGGCTATAATTTGAACAATCTTGGTAAGGGTCTACCAGATGATGCCTTCTGCAAAATATCTAAGCTCTAGGCCTTTTGGGTTTTTACAAGAAGGTATTTTAGGTTTTTACTATATGTACATAGTGAAAATCAATGACCCCCGGGGCAGGGCCAATTTTGACCCCAGGGCTATAATTTGAACAATCTTGTTAGAGGTCTACCAGACAATGCCTTATGCAAAATATCTTAGCTTTAGGCCTTTTGGGTCTTTAAAAGAAGATTTTTTAACTTTATTCTTATAATTCCTTTCTGCATGGAATGAAATTCTTTGAACAACTTTGGAAGCCCTTCACCCAAGGAACAATCCTGCCAAGTTTGGTTGAAATTGGACTAGTGGTTTTTCACAAGAAGATTTTTTAAGTTCACTATATAATCTATATAACACACACACAAACACACACACACACACACACACAGGTGAATCGCTATATGCCACCGCATCGCAGATGCTGCGGTGGCATAATAAATGATGACTAAATGGTCCCTATACACATCTTCTAAAATGTGTGACCTTGACCTTGGCTGCAGGGACCTGAATTTTGTGAGCAACACTCACACAATTCCCTCAATACATGTAGAAGTTTTTCAATAAGATCTAAGCATGACCTTTGATCTAGAGACCTGGTTAATGCTCACAACACCGCTTCTCATTGTGGTGGACATTTCTTTGAAGTTTCCATAAAATCTCTAAATGCGTGTAGGAGATATATGCTCCGGACAAAATAGGATGTAAACTGACTACCCGGGGCGTTTCCATGTTTTTCAAACAGGAATGAAAAAAAAAATATAATTCTAAATCATGAGTAGCAACAACTGCAAGATTATAAATTTTGAATATTTACTAGGCTCATATAATATTAATAACTTCATAATAAAGTTCTGACAGAGAAGTGCTGAATCTGTCTACATTATGGAGCTTTAACTAAAAAAAGTTTAAGCCTTTAATGGTATTGTTGATCATCATTATTCCTACAATTTACAATAGAATTTGAGAAATAGGTCTTTTCGTCAGTTGTTAATAGAGCTAATTAATTACACTTGTGGAAAATTTTCTTTACATCCTTTTTAGCTTGAAAAAGAAAAAAAGGATAAATACAAGTTGGAATAAAAAAAACCAAGGAGAAAGGTGACCTAGTAGTTATGGTGTCTTTAATTGAGCGGTAAAGAATTGCGAGTCAGCAGCACAAAGACGACCTAGAATGTACGAACTCTGCCATGTAAACGCTAAATGGACAACAATTCAAATGTATGCTAAGATCTTGATCAATAAAAATTACCAAAACAGTTTCATAATATTGTACATAAACCTTGTTTTCTATTTTATCCTGCGGAAAATAGAAGATTTTACAATACTTAAAGAAAGGCGTTGATAATGAACAATAACAGTAGGCTAAAAATAGCCACAGGCAGCAAAAAATACTTCAAACATCCATCCCTTACCTACTAATTGTTAAAATTACAATTTCCACAGTTCAATCTTCAAAAAGTGTGACATATGGGCACGCTTACAAAATTACTATTGTTTAATGTTTACCAATTAATGAAAATTATTATGTACTGTACATCATATGCCATGTATATTGATTAGCAGACAACTTTCAGTTTTACTTCGCTATCAGATGCAAACTGTGAGTGTGCCCGTCAGTGATTGGCTTAAATCGCTTAAACGGATAATTCGTCTAGCCTACTGTACCTACTGATGGCGCTTACTGCTTTGTTGATGCAAAATTCTTGATTTGGCACTTATTAATTGACAAACTGTTTCCATGCATCCATTAGAAATTATCAGGGGTCAAAATTGACACGCAAGCTGATTTTATGATGGGTCAAACGAGTGCAGAATATTCACGGGTCAAGACCCGAGGTCTTTGGTCAAACGAACACCCTGTTACATTTTTGCTATTAATTCAAGTATATGAAAGGCACATTTGTGTAGGCAATCCAGTTTTGAATCACAGTTCACACATTTATATCCAAAATATGTTTCAAACTTTTTTAAATCCATAGAATTATAGAACATATACACACACTAAATAATTTATTAATATTTTACATTAAATCAACACTTTAATCCATTTCTATAAATATCTGTTCTTGTGAAGCTCTAACACACATAAAATAACATGGCCTGCTTCTGAAAATGTGCGACTCCTAATGTGTTATAAATGAATGACACACTTTGTTGGTACAATGATTAAGCTTGTTAACACTTTCGAAGACACAAAAATATAATCATTAAGTTGAATGATAATTGAAAATGAAAGTATTTCCTCAGAAGCCATTAAAAGATCTTATAATTATATGTATTCCCTTTTTTGAAACAGACTATACATATTTCCATATAACAAAATCATTTAAGTATTCTTCCTCCAAACTGATCCCTGCAATGCATGTATATAAATATTATACAAGTAACTACTACTACTTGTATATTGCCTTCAATCTTGACTCAGCACTTAAAAAAAATATCATTATTGGATTCCAAATATTCCAAGACAAATCCAAATTCCAACTTTTAAGTACATTTTACATCCAGTACACTATTAGACATTGAATCTTCCAATCAAAGAATCTGAAGATGATTTGAACAAATTTGACAAATGAAATTTTTTTTTTTCTTTCAAATAATGATTTAACACTCCCTTGTATCCGCTCACTCATGAATTCTGGTTGATTTCCCACATCTTGCATCATGTATAGTAACTGTTGGTGAATTCTGGTAATTTCATGCCAATATTTTTACTTAACACTAAAAAATAAACCTAAATGCTTAATCTGTAAATTTATTTATTAATTCACATCATAAATCTGATTCTGGTAAATTTTGGTAGATATATTTGAATACTTCACTTGACTCCTTTTTTATTCTGGAGCATTCCAGTATTTTACACATATATGCTGTACATGATACTGGAGAATTCTGGTACATTTATTCCAATACATTGCACATGTATGTTACGCAAGAAACCAATGGAAAAGTCCTTGAGAATTCTGCACTATAATTCCTTATTTTTATACACTTGATGCATTTATTTCTTGTAAATTCTGATTAAAATTTTTCTCTCATTTTACAACACATTTGATGCTGCAGAACTTCTGGTAGTTGCATTCCAATACTGTAGACACTTATTCCAATATTTTTTAACTATCATGCAAATGAAAGTGGTAAATTCTGGTAGTTTTATTCCAATTCTCTACACAAACACACAAAATACTGGTAAATTCTGGTAGTTTTATTCCAATTCTTTACACAAACACACAAAATACTGGTAAATTCTGGTAGTTTCATTCAAACATTTCACACAATAAATACTGGTAAATTCTGGTAGTTTCATTCCTATACTATATACACACTATGCAAGTGGTGTTTTTTTTAAATACTTTAAAGGCATTCTTCAAGTAGTACTGATATTATAAAATTCTGGTAGTTTACCAGTACACTTCGTATGATATTTGAGAATTTGGTAGTTATTGTATTCCAATGCTGGTAAATTCTGGTAGCTTTATTTCATCCGCTCAAACTTTAGAGAAGAACAGTTGATTTCATTGACCAGTACAATTTCTGTAGTTTAGCCAACACAAAGCAAAAGAATATTACAATTCTATTTCTAGTACAATTCCCAATTTTAGCACAATTCTAAATTCTCATTTAAATCTGTTAAACATGTTTGTACAAACTCCATTGAGCAGTACATTGACTGCAGACACAATTAGTAACTCAGTTGATTAATGGTTAATTCCATTTTTATCTTATCCAAACACAACTTTTCCAGCATTAATTTCCAATTTTTTGTGTACTTGATGTAATCTCTGCAATATAGTTGATAACGAATTCCATTTGAATTATTGCACTGTTTTAAAACAAACAACAACATAGTAGTTAAACTCCAGAAGTTGGTATCAAATATTCTTAAATTTCTTCCACCCACTTGTGATGACATTTGAATTCTGGTAGTTTAACACATAATCTTTTCACATATCTCAATGTGAAGATTACTCTGTTGAAATCTTACAGGTTATTTTTCTCAAAATTTTAATTACCAGTTGTTGGAATCTGGACATTTTCGGCACGATGAATTTTACCATAATTGTAAGAATGGTTGGTTTCTAGAAGATATACATTATAATAAAACTCCTTGTAGATGGACATTCGTCTTTCCAAATCCAATATCTTGCAATTGTAAAACAAGTTCAATTCCCATACATTTTTTAAATTCAGGTTTTTGTTTTAGCTGCAGAATTACCCGAAATCCTTAAAATATATCCAACCCCTCTGGTACATATTCATACTCCACTTTTCACTTATGAATATTAAAATGACAACAACAACAACACTAACACAAACACACACACACTTTACTAGATACGAAACTTTTAACTCTGCCATGTACAATGTACAATTGTACAATGTACACTAACAATGTACACTAATAAATCTCAAGTAAGTTCCATAACTCATCAATTACTCACTAACTTCCCACAGAACACTTTTCTATTTAAAACTATCATTTCAAATAGAACATTCCCAAATCTTCACTTTTTTTCCCTTAAATATGCCCCAAACCCAATCTAGCCCTTCGTAGCCCTCCTAACCCCCACAAACCACCCCACCAGCTCTACAACATACTTAGTATATCCTCTCCATTCACTGCGTCTTCCAGTGTTAGCAAATGTGTAAATTGGTCCTCTTCTTCAACTAGATCAAGGTCCTCCATAACAGCAGGAAAGTCCTGTAATATGGAAATACACTGTTTATACATATGCATGTGTCCTTTATTTGTTACATTTTCCTAAAAGACACTATGTTGTTCTATGTACATATAATAATAATAACAAGAAAAGCATTGATGCAAAGCATCAAAGGGCGTCCAAACAGCAGGTGCAGATGAACTAGTAGATATATGATGACAAGATATTCTTTAGTGTGTTTTATGCGCTATTTTAATACTGAGTTTTTACGTTTACTATTATTTTAAGAATTCAATTGTCATAATGATCGACGATTATAAGTCAAAACTTAACTGGAAAAAGTCAGTAAATCATGGTTAATCTTTCAATTTATAATATTGTTTATTCTTAAACCATATACATGTACATTTGTATTTTTCTTTATCATTTTTTAAATTATCAATCAATTGAATAATTCATAAAATCTGATTTGTAACTTTGAATAATTCCTCGGAATCTTTACTAAACACGAATAACAAATTATATAAAATGTTTTAAAGTTGATAGTGTCATAATGATGAGTTGATTCTGTTCTGTAACGATATCTACTCCAAAACCGGGAGAGACCGGACAATAAACGTGTTGTACTATTCGCCGGTCATTAGTAAATCCCGGGAGAGACCGGGAATTACCTAGGAGTACATCCCTCTATAAATAGATTTTCGGAATATTAAGGTCATCAACTCATCATTCTATTAACAGCTTTCGGAATAACATACCATAATAACCCACTGTGTACTACAAAATGATAAGCAAAAATACCCCGAAGAGCGCGATTTATTGACGGAAAAGGTTATTTCATTTGAAAATGTTTGCATTGCGAAATTCTCCAGTTCGCCATTCATTGTACATATCGCGACTAATTAACAATCAAGCACCCTCATACCGATCGGAATGATCGGCTTTTATTATTGGCAACTATAAAAGGCTCGAGAAGTTGCTGTCGCCCTTTCACAAAATCTCATTTCATTCCAATAGGCGCCGCGCTTCGGCGCGGACGCCAATAAGAAGAAGAAGAATGTTTATTTATCACAATGTACAAAGTTTCAACTCATTACCTGTATACAAAATAAGCAATAGCATACAAATTCTTAAGGAGAACACTTAACACTAGACATGTGAGAGGCCTGTAAGAGCCTAACAAAAGTAAAGAGTGGGCAATAATTGAATCTTAATTGACGCAACAATTGAGAACTTGTTCCGAGAAATATTAAAGTTCATGGTAATCAAGTAACAACTACAAACTTAACAAATTTTAGCATCCATTCACAGAAATGAAAATTTGAGAAAATGAGTTATTGTTTAACAAATCTAAACAAATCTTATGTGAGTAAATAAATGAGTTTTAACAATCATTTTAAAGTTCATCAGTAATAGTTATAATTTAAGGGAAATTGTACTATACCTGTATATGGAAAATTAGCAATAATTTTTTTCATTGCTGCAAACTTTTAAACTTTCAAACATTTAAATTAATGAACAAACATTTTTTATGCATTCCAATGTATCAATTTTCATTTCTAACTAAAATATTCATGTTTTGAGCTGCTCTTTTGTAAGCTGATGTGTATATATTATTCTTTTCAATATAAATCATGCTTAAAAACATAACTCTTTCCTTTCTCCCAAAATTTCTACACTTTCAACATCACTTCAACCTTTATCTGCTGAAAAAAATTGACCTGCTTTGAATTTGGATCAGTCCATTTGAAGTTTAATAAAGAATGTCAATATAAAAAGACAAAACCTGAGCTAATAACTGTATAGAACCTGATCAGACTTCACAGCTGGCCTCTTTACTGGTGGCAAATTTTATACTTTGAAATAGTAAGTCTATCTTAAATTCAGGAAAATATTCCTTTGTAAAAAAATCAAACATATATCTCGAAAATCAAGAAAAACCAATGTCATCAATATTATATTTCTTAACAAAGATAAGGTATGACTAATGATTAAGTCTGTCATATTGAATGATCTGGTCAACCAGTTAAAAAATTCAAAACAAAAACCTCTACCATACCTTAAAATGATCTTTTCGTACAGCAAACATCACCTCACACATGTATTGTACACGTATATCGATCTGGCCCTCGTGTAAGATATTCCTTAACCTTTCAAATATTGCTGAAATGGAAAAACATTGAAATGTTAACATACATCTTAATTGCAACATTAAATTACATTACCATACCATGTTTGAATTTTCCTATCTAGTCAGCATAATATAATATCTTGATGTAAACTATAATGAATTTTGTTCTTTGTTCTTATCAAAAGATAGTATATGTTTATATACTATCATTTGATAAGGGCAAAGTGACAGGCTTATTTCTGAATAAAAATTGGCCTAGCATTTTCAGCGATTCTTTTTTTTTAAGCATAAAATGTTACCTGCATATAGGGTGTTTGATCAACAGTTGTTAATTCCAAATTTTTTCTTGAAATTTCCAAAATAGTCTAAAATAGTGTAAAAATTTCCCTCAAACTACAGTGTACTCAAATACTGATGCATATATTGTTTTGATAAAGAACACAATCTAACTATAATTCCTGTCAACAAGTGTATTAACATGTTGAAAAATGATATGTTTTTTTACAAATCTGTATAATTTTTCCCAATGTTCTGCTGTTAATATTTTTGAAATCTTTAAGACACAGGTTGCAAAAAAATCACTGATTAGAGGCTAGTTTATGTATGCAAGCTACATATTTCATATATAAACATGTCTTAAATTTCTACTTAAACTTTTAAATGCTTAATATTCATTTATATTTCATTTCATTGCATAGTGTTTTGCGATTTTATGGTTTTTTCTTTTGACACTGTTGTGGCTGTGATTTATAAACAAATCTGCAATCTGTGCCAATTTAACTAAGACAGAGTGAATACTTCACATCTCAAAGTTCAAGTTTAAATTCCAGATGTTTACATAAGAATTATTATTGCCTTTTCATTTCATATCACAAAGCAACAATCAACTTGAAATCTTACCAATACTTCATAAAATAGCATGGTTGCTTTAATATATTACAGTACAATCTCTGCAAAGCTGTCATTTGTGTATCAAGAAGCATTTTACAACAACGGTATTTAATTATATCCAAATTAAGACTTCGTATAAATTAAACCTCTTCATAGCAATTAAGGGTGTCATGTTTGTAAAAAATGCTAACCGTTTAAAAGACAACCTAAAAACCGTGTTAAATGTTTAACTGACAGTACTAATAAAATCCTAACACTTTCAACATTAACTTTGTTTCTTTATGACAAGATATGACAATCTGTTCATATTTTGTTGTACTTAAAACAATTACAATGCATGTCCAAATATGGAGTAACTATTTAATGAATTGTCATAACTTGATATAAAAAAAAACTTTCTTAACATTTATAATCAATTTAAATTTTTTTTCACTTCTTTGTCAAATATGAACATAGGTAACTGATTATTGAATTTTCTAACCGATTTTAGCTAAAAATTGACAATACCCATTTAAACAGATAAACGTGACACTCATTATCACAACAAATGAACAAAAGGGTGTTGCTCTGAAGAGACTGTACTGTACATATCAAATAATGAAACCTTCAAATGTAAATATATCACAATTATACATAACAAAAATATAAAAATAAAGGTCTATATTATACTTGTTGTACAGTGAACAGTGCAATACTTACTTCTTTCAGGTAATAGTGAAAATAGCACCAATACATGTACATGTACTTATCGAGATATCAAGTTGAAAAGCTGAGAGATCCAGTCTTTTTACGAGTATCCTTACGTGCCTGCCTTTTCAAACAGGTTACCCTGTAAGCCAGCAAACATGACACAAAAACATGTCACAAGCTTCGTTAGTAACCTGCTTATTTCATAATCTTTGTGAACTTTTTCTCTACTTTGCTTTTGGATACAGACAAGCATGTAAAGCTTGTCATCTAAAGCAGTGATAGATCCTGGCATCGTAGTACGTTTCTGCTGATTTGGACATCATTTTCATCAACTAAGCTTAGTATTTCCTTGTGACTAAGCCAAGTTGATATACTTTTACCATATTTTTCACATGACGTCAAAGATGTCGTTACCCTAGTCTCTCATATACTCGGCATCACAAGGCAACAACTTCACAAAAGTCGTCACCAACAGTTGAAGCACGTCTACGTTTCCGTCTGCTACCTAAACCAGTCAAGTGAGAAAGTAAATCTCACTTCAACCAGTCTACTGTGTTCCTTTTTCTTGAAGACCAAACTGGACCAGTCTGGCAAGACAGATAAATCTTGCACTAAACCAGTCAATGGCGGCTGTATAACAAACATGTGGATGTGTGAATGGTTGAAATAATCCACAACAACCACAATACACACCTTGCAGCTGAAAATCTTCATTTTAAAATGTTTCACAAATCAGCGTAAAACTCACCACTTGTGTAACCTAGTGTTACAACAAAGGGGAGTTAAAACTGATCATGAAAATCTTGACCACTATATACCATTGATTCCTCTAGGTGAGACGTCCGTAAGTTTCTGCCCGCATTCCTTCAGGAATCCTATCGATACCTCCACTGAATCGTCTGTTGGTGTTTCCAGAAGAAGTGTAAGTACTTCTAGAGCTAAAACTTCATGAGCCTAAAGTAAATAGGGATAATATAGATAAATTATGGATAAATGCCAGGTCTTTTATTATTAAACAATCTTAAACACAAATGCCTCAGTGAATTTTATGTCAATAAATAACATAATGAATTTCTGGAATCTTGAAAATGCGGCCAAGATGGTTAAGGTCATATAGAGGTCAAATCAAACAAAAACTATATGCCATTTGACCTATTGATTAATGCAAGAGGCATTAAAAAAAAATGAAGACAAAACCGGTTTTTCCTATGTCTGCTCATATCAAATATCAGAAAAGTTCAGTTTCAGAATTTACGTACAAAACTTATATTCAGTATCATCAGAAGTTTATAACAAAATTTACATCAAGTATCAGAAAAGTCCAGTTTTAGAACTTTACATACAAAACTTACAAAGACCATTTAAATCTTAAATACATAAAATATAAGCCTGAAAGAAAACATTAAAATCATTCGGAAAACAAAATAAATAAAATACAATATTGAGCATACATTTTCCTTTTGTCTGGTTTAACTGTTTTACAGCACTTTAGTTCTAGAGACTTGTAATAACTCACTGTATATTATTTTATAACATATATGAAGCCTGAGGATTGATGTATAAATACTCATTTTGATCTAGTTAGGATCTAGTCACTAAGGTGGTATTACAAAATAAACAGATCTATTTAATATGGAAAATAAACAGATCTATTTAATATGGAAATATGGTGTAGTGGATATTTACTTGGAAAAAACATGAACATTATAAAGTTATTTCATGGGTGTTTGTGGATCACTCAAAACTGTTGCCCTAAGGTATCAGTGATACATGTTCAGCTGCAATACCCAACTCCAAGATTAAAATGTTATATATCTATTCAAACGAGGACCAAATTATTACATTGTAGAGATAAAGGATTGTCAAAACTGACAAAAGTTTGCCAAAGAAGTTTTAAAAGTTCAGAATAATTATACAACGGACAGCATTTAGAATTTCACTTACCACTTGTTGGTTAACGAGATGTGCGATGAACCGTGTCGATGACAAGCAAATATTCTTGTCATTCCTCTTGTAGCCTCGACGGAACTGAATTATCAGACGTCGTAAAATCAGCTCTCCATTTTGTGGAAACTATAAAAGGTCAATAATGTGATTTTTAGGTGTTCTTATAAAAGAAATAGTCTGTTAACTTCAAATAATATCTTACACAAAGTCACCCTAAGCATAAATTTGTTTGTTTATCTAATAAGTGTGTGTTTAAATCATTTAATAATTTTAAAGCTGATGTACCAACCTTTCCACCTTAAGTACCGGTATGCTAAATAGTAAAAGAAGTGTTAAAATGTTACAAAAGAGTTTATGTAATGAAAATCATTAAGCAAAACAAAAATGTCTTAACATTTATGAATCTAGACTGATAAAATATACACTTAATAAAACTGATACTTTTACCAGACCACTTTTTTTAAAACATTTTCCCTAAGGTCACAGATTTTGGTCTAGTATAAATTAAAATACAAACTTGTCACTTGTTATTTAAAATTACAATGAATGCAAGTTCATAAAATATCACCCAGTAATAGTTTACCATGTAGCTGGTAATATTTGATACCAAGTAGTTAACTGCATTAAAACAGCCTGTTATGTGCATACACCGTCTAATTTCATTTAACCCATTTACCTTGTTACAACCTCAACCTCCCAAATTATATTACCAACCTTTTTGATAGCTATGCACAAATAGATGGATTCAGACCTTGTAATCTATAGTCAATATAGCTGGTAACATTAACCTTCTTAATAATATTACAAACCTTGTCGTAGCTATGCCAATATGTCTAGTTCCTAAGAACTTAGTAATATTACCAACCTTGTTAACAAAAACCTAAATAGTTGGATACATCAACCTATACCTACCAACCTTATTGTACTTATACCAAAATAGCTGGTAACATCAATCTATGATAATATTACAAACCTTGTTAACACTATACCAAGTTAGCTGGTAATATGACCATCTTGTAAACATTACATGTACCTGCCTAGCTATAAACAAAACTATCATGCTTTAATTCACCTGCTATAGCATGTTTAATGGGTTAAAAATGAAAAGCTCGCCAAAAAATATTCTGTTGTACATTTACATTCATCCATATGCATTTAAGTATCTAAATCAATTTATTAATCAACAAATCTGAAGTGTAATTATCAAAATCAAGACATACCTTTGTATTGACAATAGAAACTAGAGCTGCATATACATGAGTAAATGTGGGAGATGCTGCCTGAGCCTGTATGATAGATCTTGCCATTAAACCACTGAAATATCATATAGAAAATTTAATATAAGAGACTGATCAAATTATATATATAGTATAGTTATCAAAAGTAATAGAAATGGATGAAATGTAATCAATGATTACACCAAAATTTGGTTGGTCAATGATTACATGTAATCGAAAAAGACTCTGATTACTGTCAATTACTTGATAAAAAGTTTTTGATTACAATTGATTATGAGTATTGATTACAATTACATTATCCCTGCATTGCATTGTTGAGGTAAACATTTGAGCTAGCCTAATTTGAGCCACGTTTGAAGAATATCTTTCAAAGGGTATATGGCTTTATAGAGCAGACATGTTAGAAATGGACACAACGCCGACTTACAAACGCTACAAAGTGATCCCAGTATAGTGGTTGGGGTGTAATTAATTATTATTTGTTTCTTTTTTTTTCCTATACAGGATATGCCCTAAAAGTAACAGTCACTTATTTTCATCTGTAAATGGTACAAAATTTATGAAAATTATACATAAATTTAAACATAACAATTCATACAATCATTAACAACAAAAGAATATAAGAGCATAAAACAAGAAGTTATAGCATACCGTCCTCTAACAATGTTTTCCTGAAACAGTTCCCTGACAATATTTTCTATATTTCCTACATTCACCTTGTTTATCAAACCATTGATACTCTTCTTAAGTGCTTCCCACGAGATACGCTGAAACTCTACACTGTAAGGTAAAAAAATCCATAAAATCAATCACTGTAAGATAAAACAAGAGGGCCATGATGGCCCTGAAGTCGCTCACCTGTATATAGGCCCCCGGAGCAGGGCCAGTTTAAACCCCAGGGCTTTTATTTGAACAAACTTGGTAGACACCCATTAGAAGATATTTCATGCTTAACATCTAAGGTCTAGCTGGTCAAGTTTTTTTCTTTACACATATAGTTAAAAACAATGACACACCTGGGGCAGGGCCAGTTTTGACCCAAGGGTTTTTATTTGAACAATCTTTGTAGACACTTACTAGCAAATCTTTCATGCTTAATATCTAAACTCTAGCTATTCAAGTTTTTTCAAAGAAGATTTTTAAGTTTTTGCTATACACATATAAGGAAAATCAATGTCAGCCGGGGCGGGCCAATTTTGACCCCAGGGCTTTTATTTGAACAAACTTTGTAGACACACACTAGAAGATGCTTCGTGCTTAATATCTAAACTCTAGCTATTTGAGTTTTTTCAAAGAAGATTTTTTAATGTTTTTGTATAACACATATAAAGAAAAGGAATGACCCCCGGGGCGGGGCCTTTTTTTACCCCAGGGCTTTTATTTGAACAAACTTGGTAGACACTCACTAGAAGATGTTTCATGCTTAATATCTAAACTCTAGCTATTTGGTTTTTTTCAAAGAATTTTTTTTTAAAGTTTTTGCTATACACATATAAGGAAAATCAATGACCCCCGGGGCGGGGCCAATTTTGACCCCAGGGCTTTTATTTGAACAAACTTAGTAGACACCCATTAGAAGATGTTTCATGCTAAATATCTTAGCTCTAGCTCTTTAGATTCTTTAAAAGAAGATTTTTTAAGGTTTTTACAATATTGCATATAGGGAAAATCAATGACACCCTGGGGCGGGGCCAATTTTGACCCCAGGGCTTTTATTTGAACAAACTTGGTAGACACCCATTAGAACATGTTTCATGCTAAATATCTTAGCTCTAGCTCTTTGGAATCTTTAAAAGAAGATTTTTTTAAGTTTTTACTATATGCATATAGGGAAAATCAATGACCCCCTGGGGCGGGGCCAATTTTGACCCTAGGGCTTTTATTTGAACAAACTTGGTAGACATTCATTAGAACATGTTTCATGCCAAATATCTAAGCTCTAGCTCTTTGGGTTTTTTAGAAGAAGATTTTTTAAGTTTTTACTATATGCATATAGGGAAAATCAATGACCCCCTGGAGCGGGGCCAATTTTGACCCCAGGGCTTTTTTTTGAACAAACTTGGTAGACACTCATCAGAAGATGTTTCATGCTTAATATCTTAGCTCTAGCTCTTTGGGTTCTTTAAAAGAAGATTTTTTTAAGTTTTTACTATATGCATATAGGGAAAATCAATGACCCCCTGGGGCGGGACCAATTTTGACCCCAGGGCTTTTATTTGAACAATGTTGGTAGACACTCACTAGAAGATGTTTCATGCCAAATATCTTAGCTCTAGCTCTTTGGGTTTTTTAGAAGAAGATGTTTAAAGTTTTTTCTTTTGGTTGCCATGGCAACCAGAGTTCTGCATGGAATGGAATTCTTTGAACAACTTTGTTAAGGCTTCACACAAGGAACATCCCTGTGAAGTTTCATTATGATCTGCCTTTATGATCTGCCTTATGGTTTCAGAGGTTTGAAAAGTGTGAACGGACAACGTACGACGGATGACGGACGAAGAGTGATCCTAATAGCTCACCCTGAGCATATGCTCAGGTGAGCTAAAAATAATCATAAAATCAATCAAAGTTCCATGCAATCAATCACTGTAAGGTTAAAGAAAATCATAGAATCAATCACTGAAAGGCAAAAATTTCCATAAAATCAATCACATTAGGGTAAAAAAAATTCCATAAAATCAATCACTGTAAGGTAAAATTTCCATAAAATCAAACCTGTAAGGTAAAAATTCCATATAATCAATCACTGTAAAGTAAAAAGTCCATAAAATCACTGTCAGACAAAATATCCTCACTTGGCTAAAAATACCTTAAATTCAATCATAAATATCCCTGCTAGATAAACAATTCCATAAAGTCATTCACTTCTTATGCACAGAAAAGGTAAAGAAAAGATACCATAAACATGTCAATATTCATTTCATACCAAAAACTCCTATATCTTAATTAATTTTTAATCAATCCTTATCAATCTATCTTCCAGTTTTTCACAAGAATGTAAAAATTATTCATATTATACACATTAACAACTTTACCATGCCTGACTGCTCCAATTTTTAAAAAGCAGAGCACATCCATTACAACAAGAGCCATGTCAACATGGCCATCCCCCGCCGAATGTGTTTGCTCATTGGAAGAATGTATATGTAGTAGAGCAGAATAATTCCATTTTAAGAGGTCTTTTGGTAATGAAAACTGATGGCTATAGTGATTACAGATTTGAAACCTATGTGAATACTGATGGCTGAAAATAACAAAGGGCAATAACTTAAAAATAATGCAGGGTAGGTTATCATTCTTGTGTGCTGCATCCCTCCTCAGTAAAATCTATCCACCTATGAAGTTTCAAGTTGATACCTCAAATACTTTTTGAGATAAGCTCCGGACAATATAGTATGAAAAGGGCAATAACTCAAAAATTGTACAGGGAAGAGTTATCATTCTTGTGCACAGCATTCCTCCTCAATAAAATCTATCCACCTATCAGGGCTCACACTGGCTCAAATAAAATAATAGCCAATATTTTCAACTTAAAAAAATAATAGCCAAAAGTTCAGCGGACTAGCGATTAACAACATAAGCACTTGATTAAATAAACATTTCATAAATATAAAACTTTTGATAACTACCTTTTTTAGAACAACTTTAATTGTTATTATAGAACAGAATAAAAACATTATAATTAGTATAATTACTGTATAACAATAATATTAAAGATTCATTATAACTTTACATAATGCTGTTATCAGACAACTTCTTTTGTTTGTTCTAATCAAATTTTGTCAGCTTATGATAACCACTGTCTATTTCCACATTTCACACAGAACTGGAGTAGATCTAGGTCATATTAGCCTATAGAAATAACATAAGTTTGCAAACTCATTCACAGAATGCAGCCTCTTTTCTGAATAATTTACTGAAAAATATTATCATCACCAATGTAATACTAATTTTCTGCCATAGTAGTAAAGACTTTTAAACAAAACATAGCTTATTTCACCTTTGAATAAATATCAAAATTATCGGTGTCGCGAAAATATGTGACAATCGGATTTTTCCTGTTTTCTGAAGAAATATTTACAATTTTGGTTGTTGTGCAAATAGTTGTTTGGAAGTTAATACTTTTTACATATTTTACCATTGTTTTCCACTGGCGATTAAGTCAAGTAGCTTAAAACAAAGAAAAATCAAAATTTACAATTACTTCAATTCACGGTAAATTTTGGGTAGGCTAAGTCAATATCCAGTTTATCAATTTTAAAGCGATTTTTGTGGCTAATTGTCGAATATTTGATGGCTGTTATAAATGCTGGACAATATCTTTAAAGTACTTATACAATTATACATCTCGCATGTATTTTATCACCTCGGGCAATATAGTAAACAGCACGTGACCGGTAAAAAAATTGACACTCAATTAAATGCACCCCGCTGGTGTTAATTAGGTCTACTGCTTTCTTTATCGACTTTTACACCTTTTATAAACACTGTTGGAAGTAAAAAAAAATAATTGCCAGATTTTGTAGCCAAAATGCAAAAATAATCGCCAATCTTATAAAATAATCGCAAATGGCGACTATGGCGACCAACAGCGTGAGCCCTGACCTATGACATTTCATGTTGACATCTCAAACACTTTTGAGTTATGCTCCACTCGGGTGAAAAATTAGGTATGAAAAATAACAAAGGGCAATAACGCAAAAATTATGAAAGGTAGAGTTATCATTCTTGTGCACTGCACACCTCCTGAGTGAGATCTATGCACCTATGAAGTTTCATTTTGATATCTCAAAGGCTTTTTGAGTTATGCTCAGGACAAAAATTAATTTTGAAAAATAACAAAGGGCAATAACTCAAAAATAATGCAGGGTAGAGTTATCATTCTTGTGCAATGCACTCCTCCTCAATGAGATCCATCCACCTATGAAGTTTCAAGTTGATACCTCAATACTTTTTGAGATAAGCTCTGGACAAAATAGCATGAAAAAGAACAAAGGGCAATAACTCAAAAATTGTATAGGGAAGAGTTATCATTCTTGCGCACAACATTCCTCCTCAATAAGATCTATCCAACTATGACATTTCATGTTGATATCTCAAAAACTTTTTGAGTTTTGCTCCACTCAGGTGAAAAATTAAGTATGAAAAATAACAAAGGGCAATAACTCAAAAATTATGAAAGGTAGAGTTATCATTCTAGTGCACTGCACACCTCCTGAGTGAGATATATGCACCTATGACGTTTCATGTTGATATCTCATAGGCTTTTGGAGTTATGCTCTGGACAAAAATCAATTTTGAAAAATAACAAAGGGCAATAACTCAAAAATTGTGCAGGATAGAGTTATCATTCTTGTGCACTGTACTCCTCCTCAATGAGGTCCATCCACCTATGAAGTTTCAAGTTGATAACTCAAATACTTTTAAAGATATGCTCCGGACAAAAATGTCAGAAGGGACGGACGGACGCCTTTTCGGCGTGGGATAATGAATTCAGCAGGTCAAGGTACAATTTTAAACAGATTTATTATTAATTTACCTTGATTTATCTGTGATCTTGGCTTGCATAGCCCTCAGACGAGCTGGGGGTATATAAGCGCCACCAGTCCTCCCAGTAAAGGCTTCCACCCCAACAGCTGCAGGTTTGGGTTTCTTTGTAGACAATTCTGATTCTTCCTTAGGTTCTGGCTCATTTGTTTCCTGTACTTTTCTGAAATATAAAATAAATCAAAAACTTCCCTAGCATTTAATTTTACATACACAACATCATTTTTAAAACTGAATGAGTCTATAAAAGTAGTTGATTTGTAGTTGGTATTTCTAATTAAGATATGTTTTTTAAAAATTCATGTTTTTTTTGGATTTTCTGCTGATTTTAATATGTTTAGTCCCATATTGCTGGTCAGTCCACCTTACTGGACTTTCCTGCTAACTAACCAGTAATTATCAATTTCTTGGTATTTTACTATTCCCACATGATTTCGGAATCAGCAATTAGAGACAAATAACCATTACACTCTATGCCGGACTCAACTGTCAAAAGATCAAAAGTGCCACACTTGAAGCATCTAACCAGTGATCCCTTGATTCTCATATAAAAAAATATTTGTACACATTTTTTATGGCAACCCTTTTTCACATTTTTTAACATTTGACCCTGAAGGTTAAGTTCATTTGTCACAGCCGTATTTCAATTTGTGTAGACTAATATGTTGAAACCAATTATGAAGGCTTTAAAACAAAGGATTTAACCATTTGGGAAATGTTAATTATGAACCCAGTTAAAGGATAACTAACAATATTAAGTGAATATCAAAATGCAGTTTTTACAATGACATAATCACAAGGTTTGAAACAATATACAGTAACATCTTAATATCACTAATAACTAAAAAAAAAAACATATTAATATCAAACTATGATAATTATGATTCTAAAATTCAAATTAAGTGTTTAAAGAACTTTCGAGGCAGTTCAACGAGCATAATTATATGTGCTTTTTTTTTTCAAAGTACTTTACTTCCTTTTTCTTGACACGTTCCTTCTCTCCTGCATTTTGGTCTCCATCATTTCTTCCCTTCATTCTTGAAAGCCTTTTTCTCTGATTGAGAAATCTCTCATCTTCTACAGTTTGTTGTCATCTTCCCCTGAAGGCTTCTGAAAATTGGTCCAAAATTTTTTGTA